TAAGACATGGAGAGAAAGAGCTGGTATAAGGAGTGAGACTTGGAGAGAAAGAGCTGGTATAAAGAGTAAGACATGGAAAGAAAGAGCTGGTAAAAAGAGTAACACTTGGAGAGAAAGAGCTGGTATAAAGAGTAACACTTGGAGAGAAAGAGCTGGTATAAAGAGTAAGACATGGATGGAAAGAGCTGGTATAAAGAGTAAGACTTGGAGAGAAAGAGCTGATATAAAGAGTAAGACATGGAGAGAAAGAGCTGGTATAAAGAGTAACACTTGGAGAGAAAGAGCTGGTATAAAGAGTAACACTTGGGAGAGAAAGAGCTGGTATAAAGAGTAAGACTTAGAGAGAAAGAGCTGATTTAAAGAGTAAGACTTGGAGAGAAAGAGCTGATATAAAGAGTAAGACTTGGAGAGAAAGAGCTGGTATAAAGAGTAAGACTTGGAGAGAAAGAGCTGATATAAAGAGTAAGACTTGGAGAGAAAGAGCTGGTATAAAGAGTAAGACTTAGAGAGAAAGAGCTGGTATAAAGAGTAAGACTTGGTGAGAAAGAGCTGGTTTAAAGAGTAAGACTTGGAGAGAAAGAGCTGGTATAAAGAGTAAGACTTGGAGAGAAAGAGCTGGTATAAAGAGTAACACTTGGGAGAGAAAGAGCTGGTATAAAGAGTAAGACATGGAGAGAAAGAGCTGGTATAAAGAGTAAGACTTAGAGAGAACGAGCTGATATAAAGAGTAAGACATGGAGAGAAAGAGCTGGTAAAAAGAGTAAGACATGGAGAGAAAGAGCTGATATAAAGAGTAAGACATGGAGAGAAAGAGCTGATATAAAGAGTAAGACATGGAGAGAAAGAGCTGATATAAAGAGTAAGACATGGATAGAAAGAGCTGATATAAAGAGTAAAACTTGGAGAGAAAGTGCTGATATAAAGAGTAAGACATGGAGAGAAAGAGCTGATATAAAGAGTAAGACATGGAGAGAACGAGCTGGTATAAAGAGTAAGACATGGAGAGAAAGAGCTGATATAAAGAGTAAGACATGGAGAGAAAGAGCTGGTATGAAGAGTAAGACTTGGAGAGAAAGAGCTGGTATATAGAGTAAGACACGGAGAGAAAGATCTGGTATAAAGAGTAAGACATGGACAGAAAGAGCTGGTATAAAGAGTAAGACATGGAGAGAAAGACCTGGTATAAAGAGTAAGACTCGGAGAGAAAGAGCTGGTATAAAGAGTAAGACATGGAGAGTTGTTGTTGTTGTTATCGATCCAGCGGCGCATGAGCTTTCGCCCTTTGGCCCAATGCCATGTAGTGGAATTTGCATGTTTTCACAAGCTGTTCTTTTCCTCCGTACAAGGTGTTCCACTTGTCTGGTCTCGGAGGGAGTAGCGTTCTTCTTGTCTCACTGAGTTTTGGGCACTCAAAGAGATGGTGTTCAACAGTTTCGTAGGGGTAGTTACATAGCTGGCACTCTGGGGAGTGTTGTGGCTGTATTCTGTTTAGGTGTCCATTGAGTGGAGTATGTTGCGTTCTAAGTCTGAAGATGGTGGCCTGGTCTCTTCTTGTTAGATGGTTAATGCTGTCATTAGGATCAGGGCCAGACATATGTCTATAAACCTCTCTTCCAGTGTCTCCCATGGCCCATCTGTTCAACCAAGTCTCTTTGTTTATAGCTCTTATCAGTGTTTTTGCTGTCTGGAGGGTTGTCGCTGTAGGTGGTTGTTCATGTGTTGCTCCTTTCTTTGCCAATCTGTCAGCTCTGTCATTACCTGGTGTGCCGGAGTGACCTGGAATCCACTGCATCACTATTCTGATGTTGTATGAGGTAATAAGCTGATCGGCATCCAGGATTATCTTGGCTATGTCAGTTCTGCAGCGTTCATTGCCCTCCAGAGCTTGAAGGGCAGACATTGAATCTGTGAAGATGACAATATTTTGGACCTTTAAGGGGTAAACATCCATTACAGTCTTTAGGTGGTATACTGCTGTTTCCAGTGCAATTATTTCAGCTTCATAGTTTGAACAGAATTCCCCGCATGCATCAAAAATCTCTTCAACAGATCCATCGGGATAACCTATGTAGATTCCGTAACCTGCTTTAATGGTAGCTTTAAATGCTGATCCATCAGTATAGACATGTATCCAGAAAGTGCTGATATAAAGAGTAAGACATGGAGAGAAAGAGCTGATATAAAGAGTAAGACATGGAGAGAACGAGCTGGTATAAAGAGTAAGACATGGAGAGAAAGAGCTGATATAAAGAGTAAGACATGGAGAGAAAGAGCTGGTATGAAGAGTAAGACTTGGAGAAAAAGAGCTGGTATATAGAGTAAGACACGTAGAGAAAGATCTGGTATAAAGAGTAAGACATAGACAGAAAGAGCTGGTATAAAGAGTAAGACATGGAGAGAAAGAGCTGGTATAAAGAGTAAGACTCGGAGAGAAAGAGCTGGCATAAAGAGTAAGACATGGAGAGAAAGAGCTGGTATAAAGAGTAAGACTTGGAGTGAAAGAGCTAGGTGTAGCAGTCAATGTTAATGTATTGTTCAGTAATCAGAGGATAGAGAATCAATTAACAGGTACTGAAATGGCAAATCAGTGGATCAAGGAGAGAGAGGTCAAAGGTCTCACACTGGATTCTATCAATAATATTTTAAAAAATAGTGCAGGATAGTATGGAAGAGAGGAATAGACTCTAAGACTGTCAGTCCTATGTGGTGCATAATTATAATAATAATGCACAAAAAGATGATTATGATCACGAAGATTGACAAGTAGTCTAAGCGGGGATTAGGGGGGTCGGGAGAGGGGGGGGGGGGGGTTGGGTTGTAACGGGGAACTTTTTTGTCAATTTTTGATTAATAATGTCAAATATTCAAACAGGCTTTCTTTGAGAGGAACCACAGAGAACCAAAGATGCACCATAAATTTCATTTTAACCAAAAAAAAAATTACTAATTGAATTGAAAGTCTGCATTCTTATTCCTTCATTACTTTCCAATAACGAGATCAGCACTATAAGCTCTGTCTCTAAAGATCTAAGCTGATGTAAATGTAATAGTGATCGTTTTGACAGACTGAATATATAATGTATCTATCATGGATGTGCCAGAAATTGTGGTTGCTTGTTATAACATAAACAACCTGTATTATGCTGATGACACTGTCTTAATAGTGTCAAATCAGAAAAACATACACTTATACAGGGAGTGATGGTGGTAGAAAGTGACAAAATGGGCCTCAGTCTGAATAATATGAAGACAGAAGTAACAGTGATATCACAAACAGGGCCTCGGTCGTGTGTAAAATGCGGAGTGCCTGCCGAGGCACAAATCGCTGCAAAACTAGGATCACCTCAAAATAACGGGCCAATATTATCGAGGGCAAACAAATATTCTAACAAGGTCTCAGTGATATGTTAACTGCGGACCTGTTTCTGCAACTATGCCGTACTGCCGACAGTATTCCCCCCGCTGCACGTGCAGCGCGGATGAGGGGCTAAACTAGAGGGCTGGGACTCATGAGCAAATAAATTGGAGGAAGCTGCAGGAGATGCGGTAGCTGCTGCTCGTGAGTCCCAGCCATCTAGTTTAGCCGCACCATCCGCACGGTGTGCAGAGGCGTAGGGGGATACGCTCGGCGTTAAGTTTAATCGGAAGAACACTATCGCTAACCTGCGTTGGAGCACGTGGTCTCCCCTCCAAGTCACCATTATCGTGTTGCGTTTCTTGAAATTTACAACAGACAGTAATCCTAGTTTCGCAGCAATGTGTTCGTTGGAGGAAGTCCGCATTTTACACACGACTGAGGCCCTGTTAGGGTATTTGTTTGGCTGCCATAATATGGGGACGTTATGGTATTTGTTTGGCCGCCATCATATGGGAACATTAGGGTATTTGTTTGGCCGCCATAATATGGGAATGAAGTTCGGAGGAAAGCCTCCTTTTTTGGTCATGGTATGAGAAGAAGGAAACTAGGACATGTTCTATCTACTGCAGAGTCAAAGATCTGTGGAAAAAGAGACAAGGAAGACAACGCCAGACAATTTTTCATAATCTTCAAAAGGCTATTGACATTTTTGTTGTCACAGGAGGGTATCAGTAGGCACTTCGTCTTTAGTCAACACAGGAACTAACAGTACTAACTACTATTATTTATACATGATGCCGGCTTTCCTTTCAACTTCGGCCGGTAGACAAACATCGACGGCCGGTAAGTCGGATTTATGTCCCCTTGCTACAGTGCAATTACGTTCTTGACAGGAGGGAACGAAACAAATGACATAATTACTGTGTATTGCCGATAGACAGCATACGGCTACGGTTTGGGTGAGGGTTAGGTTTAGGGTTAGGGTTTGGTTTAGTGGTAGGATTAGGTTTAGGGTGTGGGTTAAGGTTACTGTCGCCGCATCTCGTCTTCGCACAAACTCATAGTAGCAACCCAAACTCAAACCCAAACCCTAACCCTACCCCTAAGGCACTGCACGCTGTCTATCGCCGACACACAGTAACTATGTCACTTGTCTCGTTCCCTCTAGTCCACTCCGTAATGCGTCGGAAGAAGCGGTAATTGAACGCAGTCGCTAATTTGAGTGGCAGCGCGGGGTCTGCATGTCGACCTCAACTCACTGTGTTTGTTTGATTCGTGCCATCTCCAGTCCGTAATTGCACTGTAGCAAGGGGACATAACTCCGACTAACCGGCCTTCGATGTTTGTCTACCGGCCGAAGTTGAAAGGAGAGCCATGATGTCGAATATTTCCGATCTTGCATATTGAGAGTGATCGTTTACGCCAGTCGACAAGGCACGTGATGATGGTGACGCAAGATTGATCGTGATCGTCACTGAACTGGTTGATTCAGATAATTGCAAATGGTTTGACTGACCGACCGAACAGCTGACTGACTGTACTACGAACTTGTTTTGATGCTGAGTTGAAACAAGGTCACTGTTGGGTCATTGTCTATCGGTCAGAAACATATAGTGATATAAATCATGAACAAAAACATTACCTTCCGTATCCTTTTTCGGAGGCTCGTACAAACCGAAGGCTTTCAACACAAAGGGGTGCATGAAGCGTGGATAAATGACGACAAAGCAGGCTACCATCACAGCCACAGTCCCGAATGCCTTGATGGGAGACATCTTGTATACAGCAAATGCTTCGTGGTCCTCTGGTTTCGTTCATTAATTCATCATCATCATCATCATCATTTGTGTGCCGTTAGGCGTCACATATGGCCCGCACTCGATTCCTCCTCCACTCCGCTCTGTTGCATGCAACTCTCGATTTCTGACAAGGAATTTAGCCCATAATTTTTACCCTCTTGTAATAATGTTCTTAAAGTTTTCCCTGGACGTCCGTTTTTTTCCCTCTCTCAGACTGTCGGTTTGCCATTTCAGTGCTTGTTTTGTAATAGTGAATTTGTAATTCTTTGCTAATTTCGTCTCAGAGTGAGCTCTAATTATCCCCACCTTCTTTGTCTTATAGCAGTCGATACAGGTATTCATCTTGATATTTCTCTATCTTCACCTTTTTGAATTCATTCCATTCGATGTTCTTGACTTTTCTCACACATTCATTTTCAAATGTATTTGGTTTTTTCGTATCTTTAGTGCTTCTTCAACTTTCGCTGGCATATGTAAGAATTGAAGATTCGTGGCAAATACAGATTAATTTTAAACGTTTGGCAGCCACAGAACGTTGTGCCTATTTTTTTTTTTAATAAAAAGAAGGAGAAAAAAGCATAAGTTGGAGCCCAAATTTTGTTAAGGCTTTTAAAGGCTGTTGCTGTTGTATCAGTGCGTATCATAATTTCTCTCATTGTATCTCATTGAGAGTCAAAGCTGCTACACAAATAAGTGAAATGGCCCGTTACTTTCATCGGTTTGTTTTCTAGCATGACATCTACATGATCCGTTGGTGGCATCTTTAATATATTTGTTTTCTTAAAACCTATCTGTAGTCATTTTTTTGTAGTCTGTAGACGAGAAATCTCTGTTTTTCTCTGCCTGTCTTTGTTATTTACATTGGACGGAACAATATCACCTGCGAAAATTTAGATATTCCAGTTGTCTATTCTCTACCCTGTCGGTGATAGTTTTGCCTTTACCACATTTTTTCATTACCTAGTCAATGCCTGGGCCAATGCTCCATTGGGGGATAGAAAGGCAGAAGAAGAGAAGAAGTCAATGCCTACTACAAACAGCAAGAAAGAATGCAGCCCTGTTTCATTCCAGTTTTCACCAAAGCCAGTCATTTAGACCAATTTCAGTGCGCACTGCACATTCTAAGCATTCAAAAACATTTCTAATAATGTGTTTATTATTTTGGCGAGTATGCTGTAGAATTCCAAAATTTCCTATAGTAAAATTATACAACGTAAGCTGGTAAAGGCCTTCTTGAAATAAATAAAATTCAGGACTAGAGGCTGTTGCTTCACAATGTGTTCTTCTAGAATAAGTCTCAGGGTGATTATTTGATCCGGTTAATTAATTATTGATCCAAAAATGTAGTCAGTATCAGTCAGATTAGTGTTGAGCTAAGAGTTTGTGTCCGTTTGATGCGGGTAATCAGTTCTCTTTGTGTGTTTATCATTTCAAGAGATCATTGCAATATTACCTCATTTATCTGTCCACAGTGTTCTCACCATACGTACCTGAAAGTACATCTCCAATGCTTCCACATAAATTTACACAAATCTTCTGACAACCCATGATTTACTTCCGTGCATCAGGAATGATCTGTTTAGCTCTTAGGTTCTCGCCGTATTTGGCTAAAATAGACTAAACGAATATTGAGTGGGGGGGGGGGGGGGGGGGTGCATAAACTTGAGCTACATTTTATTCCTATACTTTAATTGCTTGACTAAAATTTGTGAAAGGTTCAGTGATGCCGTTTCATTGTCACCATAGTGGAGACATTTATGTACTCATTCATACTATTGTAAATCCATTTATTACCGTATGAGCTGAATAGGATTCTGTTGCTTAAATTACTACTGATTCATTGAGAACAGGTCATTCAAGGCACCAGGCGGTCAATGCAACACAGGCGACCTGACTCACAGTTGTATGGTGTCCATTTTATGACGCGGCGGACCTCATGTAGATTTGAGAGAATCCAACTCGGTGGCTTTGAAAAGGCATTGATAGAAGTGATTTGGATAGAACATACTAACAAATCTGAGCTGCTATGGAGACAAGGTATCAAGGCAATTAGAGCCCTTCAATGCTTGTTGATTCCTGCTGGACTGTGACAAGAGACAGCTCATCGATTGAGGACAAGAAGCAAGCAAAGAGAGCTCAAACAGCGTCTGGATAATGACGGAGGAAAAGGTTCAAATATTTCTTTTTAAAATATATGTGAACTACAGCGTGACATTACCACAACATAGCACAAGCCGTGCGACACGGAGATTTATGGATGGGAAGGGAAGTCGGTTAGTTCGACGTTAGACGCCCCCAGACCCCGCCCATATGCACACTAGCTCACTTCTGATTAGTAGTTCCCGAGCCGCGTGACCTTCGCATACTGTTACTGAGTGTTTCGCAATGCTGTTGATATCGCGTATTGTATATTTCAGCACGCCAGCGCCTTTAACACTCCAAAACACGAACGAACTGAGTCTAACACAAATCCCCTAGAGAGTGCTACAAACTATGTCACAGACATTCTCTTTTTCGGAATGAAAACGTAAATGCAAGGCAACGGAGGAACCAAACAACAGAGCGGGACACACCTGTCACTTTCAGGAAAGCCAGCCCAACAAACTTGTGAAATGAAAGGGATTTATTCTATTTGGGGAGACTAACGTCGAACTAACCGATTTTTTTCAACAGAACACACCAGCCTCGGTTTGAAATAATTGTAAAATCACATTGGAAAGCTAGTTCCAAGCCCACGACCGGTGTCTTGTCAACTTTCTTTCCTCGCTTCTAGTTAGTTAGTTAGTTGGGTTATCATCATTGCAATCCGGACATGTCCATAGGTGCTCAGATCCTCCCCTCAGTATGAACCCCAACGTCCGATGGCTAATAGTACCAGTTCTATGTTGATGAACAAGTCTTCTGACGTGTCTGGTGTGCGTCTTGTTTTTTGCTATGCCGATCTTAATTCCCAAGTCTGCCATTCTGGTGAGTGATGTGGATTCACTGCCACCAAAGTCCTCCGTCCTTTCCATTTCTCTGAGGGCATTTTTAATATCAGCATGATCCATAGGCTGACCGTTGGTAGTGATAGCGTATACAGTCAACCTGTCAGCTCGTTCATTTCCATCGACGCCTGCGTATCCCGAAACAAAAAACAAAGGTGACTTCATGCACAGTGGACTTCTGTAATGATTCAAGCCATTGTCTTCGCACCGAACCTGCTTGAACCCTCCGGATCATACTCATTGAATCACTGAGTATACATACGCGGGTGTATTTTTGTGTTTCGATCCAGGCAAACGCTTGCGTCATTGCCATCACCTCCATCCTCATGCTGCTGGTTGTCATGGAGAAGGCGCCGTTGGCTTCTTTGACTGTTCTGCCCGCTGAGCGTGCTGTGAATGTCCATGCGCTTCTTCTTTGGCGTATAACGGATCCGTCTGTGTAGATTAGTGCATATGCTTCGTCTGAATTTTCACTGATGAGAGCGTTGACATCTGCATTAACAGCAACAGGATTCTCTTCTCTGCATCGCCGGTTGAGTGTGACAATACAGGAAAATGTACAGATAAACGCATGAGGCACAGGTATCCACTCTGCACCAGCGGTGATGTCGGTTATACTGCATATTTGCCTAAAAGCGTGCTTATGTTATCACATGGTCAACGTGTTCCCTGTATGACAAGCTGCGATCAAACCTCACCCCGAGAAACCTCTTAACGTTGGTTCTGATCAATACATTAGCACGCATTTTTACTTCTCGTAAGTCCGATTTGACAATCATCATCATCATCAGGTGCCTTGCCGACTGGCGTGGGCGATCATGCCTCTCCATAATCCGCGATCTCCTGCAGCATGTATCAGTTCGTGTGCCGACACACCTCCATGCCCTGCAACAAGACTGTCAAGCATCTTCTCTCGTTGTCTTCCTCTATCCCTCCTTCCACAGATCTTTCCAGTGGTCACAACATGTTCTATTTTCCCTCTTCTCATAACATGGCCGAAAAATGATGACTGTCTCCTTCTGATGTCAGTGATAAGTTGTCTTCGGTCTCCCACCTCTTTTAAAACCTCTTGGTTGCTCTTTTTGGCTGTCCAAGGTATTCTAAGCATTCTTCTGTAAAACCACATCTCTGAGGCCTCTAAAAATTGTTTGGCCTGCCTACCGATTGTCCAGGATTCACATCCATATGTTAAAACTGGATGTATGTAGCAAGCAAGAATTATTTTTCTAACTCTCAATGACAAGGATATATTGCACAAGATGTTTTTCATTTTATAAAATGCAGTTTTTGCCTGTCCAATTCTGTTTCTTATTTCAGTTATGCATCTTCCATCTGATGTTATCCATGTGCCCAGATACTTAAATTTCTGTACTTGTCTTAAAATAACACCATTGACTTTTATTACACATTTAGGAATAATTTGTTTCTTTGATACCACCATTACTTCTGTCTTCCCATTATTCAAACTGAGGCCCATTCTTCCACTTTCTAACACCACAATGTCTATCATTGACAATATGATTGTTTAAAGAGAACCATGACACTGATGCCTTCGAAGGATTGACATAGGCATTGGAACCATTACACCAGGCGGCAATTCGATCGAGTTCTTTGTGCATTGTGCTGGCGATCTCCTGTCTGTCACGCCCTCGTCGATAAATCAAAATGTCATCAGCAAATGACGAAGTCCTTCCCTTTCCATTCAACTGCTGCTCAGTGATCATCACCGTATAAACGTTGAATAAGACTGGTGAAAGTGGTGATCCCTGTGGCAAGCCTGGACATATCTTTTGCGGTTCTGAGGACCAGCTACCACATCTGAGTACTGTTTAAGAAGTAATTGCATAGAATATTCA